ATCGAGTAAAAGAATTGATGGGATCCGCAGAGTTTACGATAGAGGATCGTATAAAATACTATTTCCAACCAAGTACGAAGCTGAACTAACAGATTTCAGGGAATTCATCTGATCTTTCTTGACTGCACAACTCTGCACACCAAAATTCCTCGCTCTCCTTTTGTAGAATTCAGGCAAAAATTTGATGGTGAAAGTGATGATGGCGCTAAAGGAATGACAACCACCTATTCATTTATTTAACTTATCATTATTTGCCGACGACAAATTTTATCACTTTTTCAATTCGTTCTAGGCTACTCAAACCAATGTCCTTCTTCGGATAGGAATTTCATAAATGAATGAACTCGCTAGTCTTTTCGAATCGTTTACCTCCCGATCAGCACAACACCTACTCTGCCTCTGTGTCAGCAATTTCTTTTCTATGCGATCGCTACTTTATAATCAATACTGGTTTCACCTCGAACCGCTTCAACTTCATAAAGCTCCCAAGCTTCTTCAGTGTCGCCGTGCGACAGATCTGTCTTCTGCATTATTGCATTCCAAGTTTCGCTAGTGTCACCAATGACATGTCACTTACTCCATCTTAAAGCAGTACCAAACATGCCTTTTTTCCTTTCATATTTTCGTGAATATTTCTGAGTTTTTGGCAAGGAAATCCCCAAATAACTGTAAGGTTGATGGTTAGGGGCGAGGTAGCCGATAACTTCTTTCCTGTACAAAACTTCACTTTTTCATTTCGCTTCTGCCATTTTATATTATAAGCTTTCTTATTTCTATTGCTGAATCACTGAAGGTCCGGCAGAGGCAGAGAGTGTTTAACGGCCGCTTTCGGAAGTGACTCACTCGGTACACATGGAAACACCATCACCGACGTCAAGAGACACAACGGCATCGATGCCTTGCATCTGCAGAATCGAAAATCAGGAAGAAGTTGATGAGTTGAACAAAGAACAATACAATTATCTATGGTTTAGAACTTGATCATAAGTTTCTAAAGACTGATGATTCGCAGTGAAGAACGTGGCTGTGATCTTCTTACGTTTTCAAAGCGCCTAACAATGAAATAAGTTCGTCGAGCGATTCTCGAATACAATTGTATAGACCAGTTTTTGCTGCAAAATATGTAGCTTAAAATTATGAGGTTACCGTTATAAAAGAAGGAGAATGCGGCAAAAAGATAAAGCGCTCAGCGTTGATCAAACTCTTAGAGAGGGTCATTCATTGGATTCCATTTGTAACACTGAGGTGACTGAATATATATGAATCCTGTATAGTGGAACTTGCTGAACCCTACCAATATATCAAGTCGGTGTTTTTATCCTCCAAGGTAAATCTGGTCCGATTCGCTGATCCCGTATAGATGCAGGAGTTAATAAGTCCGCGACAGGATCGGCCTACAGCTCAGGTGTGTATAGCAAGGCAACTTTAACCATTTCGTTGCACCTGGTTCAGTCATCGTGGCTAAATAGGTAATCTTGTAGAGTTACACCCTTATATAAAATGTGTGCCTAAGTGAGGAACAAACATGAATATCTCCAGTTATTCAAACTTTTCATGTTGTATAGAAGAGTTAAGGCTCAACCGTCTAGTTTTCCTCATTAGTGATTTGTATTAGTTTGTAAAATTTTCTGCCCTTCATTTGCACTTCCTATATAACAGCGGTTCAAATATTGAAATCATCCTCCATTCAAAAATAAATTTTCAAGTGTTAGCTGATGGCTACCAACGGAGATGAACGGAATGTCGGCTTTGAAACACTTTGTATCCTTTCCTTTTTCTTGAAAGAACGAGTATATCATCTTTGGGTCTTCTATAAAAATCGCTTTACTACCGGAATACACTAATCCCAGCGTTATGGAAGACATGGATTATGTTGATAGGAAAAAAAAGCAACAGAGATTTTTCACTAGGAATAATCTCGCTGCTTCGTCGAATCGTCAAATGCTTTCGGATGTTGCTGGTAGAGTATGACTTCGTGAGTAGTGAGGTTTCCTTAAAAAATTAGTGGTTTCTTGTAGAGTTTTTTGTAGACGTTTTGAGTTAAAACTCTTTAGCATAAACTTTTTAGTATGAATAAAATTGGTATGGAGACACGATGGTGATTTGTTCGTCACTTGTCTTTTGACATCGTTGCTTCTCTTTCGCTGGTGTCGAATTACTCGCTTTCAAAAGAAATATCGAACTACCGTTATTGAATGGCCGTGTCAGCATTGATGTTGGTGTTTGTCGATCTCACGGTACTTCATATCCGTCTTCTCAGAGAAGTAAGTTTGCTTGACCTAACGTTTGGTGACTATTTGCATCTCGGTCGCTCATCGATGATGACAGTGAGTGCCAAGTGGCACTTTGACGCAATTCCTCCGCTCAGTACATTGTAGAAGTAGAGATGACTGAAAAAGAAGATAAACGGATGATCCACAAACAAATGCTTTTTCGCTAACTTCGTTCTGTTAGAAGAAGAGAGACTAAGTTACTACGTCGTTTTATTGAAATTTTAACTTGAAAGAGATGTGAGAAAGAACTGAAGATGCATATTAGTCGTCGTTTTCGTTCTGATTCAACAATGGAAGGACTAAGGAAACAGTCGCATAAACTTCCCTCAAACTCGGTTATCAGCACTTTTGTGCAAAAAAAGGAAGGAATCTATATCTTAAAGAAAGCTGAAGTCCCAAGAAGGATGAAAAGATGTATTTTTAGCAAAAAAAATATGGCAGTAGTAGTAAAAATGAGTAAAATACACATTGATAGGGTTTGGTTTGTAACTATCTGAGGTCGGATTTTATGTCTCCGTGAAGTTTTACTTAAGACGAAACTATTCAAGTGTTGGTGAAATATTGTGCCACCATAATAAGATTCTCTGCCAAAATTCGCTAAAAATTTATAATTAAAACTATTTTCGTAACTCAGTCATTCTCTTCCTCTGCTTCAACTATGAAATGATGTTTATAACGAATCGAATATTAGCTTAGTAGAGCTTCTAAATCTACAGCAGAACTAATCATAGAAGTAAAAAGTAAATCATAAAAGTAGTTAGTAAAGCATTCAATGTTTTCTGTTCGTTTCATATGGATCGAAATAAAATCAATACAACTCGTTGGTTATTCGTCCTGTACAGAGCTGACGATATTTACCGATTGGAAACGCCGCTGATCCCCGTTGGGAATCCGTTCGCAAACAACGCTGACCGACCCAAGTCTGTTGCTTTAGTGGTTAGACTGACAGCTTGTAAATGAAGCAGACGGTAGCGAGAAAGAATTTAGGGAATGAACATAGACGGTCTGAATTGGTCATGACATTTTCAGTTACTTTCAGAAGAGCATTGTTTTTGAAATGTCCTTGGACTCTCGTCATTTTATGCTTTGAATTTCTTGTTGTAACTATAGGTGATATCGTTGAAGTTAGTTGTGCTTAAATTTTGGCTTCCATGCAGCAACTTATCACCTCTTCGTTGGTGCCGATGGCTGTCACATAATGTTGATTGAGCACTTTCGCTAAGGTTAATCCCCACATGGGACCCTCAAGCTGAGGAGTTCTGGATTTTCGTTCGATTGCTATTCCGCGAGGTAGTCTGATGAAATACCAGTCAACATCTTTTCCCGAAAAATAATAAGAATACGAAGCTTTATTCGTAAAATGGAATGCTTTATCCCTTGAGCGATTGGAGCTCACCATGAAGCTCTCACAACCAGCGACAGTGAATGGAAACCTTACATGTGCAAAAATGGATTCGGTGATTAATGGAATCATAAGTGATAGCATTTACATAATGATCACTCAATGAAGCTTGTGAACAAATATAAGATACTGGATTAAAAAAAAAGATTAGCAAAATGATCAAATTTAGGCCAACAAAGGCGTGATTGCGAGCAGTTCTTCGTGGAAAGCTAACAACGAGTGATACAAAAACTAAAGGTCTCCACTTAATTCTATGATTCTATTTCTAAAAGCCGCTAAATTCGAAAACCGAATGTCGTAGAACCACCATAAACTGAGACTTATTCAATTCATTAGTCGGCTGTTGGGAAGATGTAGTTGTCGATAACATCGACGAAGAATACAGTCGGCTTATTCAACATCTTAACGATAACGCTATGAAAGCTGAGAGTTCGAAAGTCACGAAGAGACGTCCTTCTTCAGAAACACTCGAGCTGATACGCCAACGTCGAATCGCACGAGCTACAGGAAGCCGCAAACTGACGTCCGAACTTGGAAGGCGGTACAGACAGGCGATAAAAGGAGATCTTAAAGAGAGAAGAGCAACAGTAATGGTCGAAGCTGCAGAGGCTGGGGAATGCATTCGCAAAGCTCACCGAAGCTTCGCCAATTACAAGACCAAGACGATTGCACTACGACGCTCAGATGAAACAGTTACAGCGTCCAGAAAGGCAATAGAGAAAATCATTCATGAATACTCAAATCTCTTCGATAGCCACGTCATGGAGGAGAAAATAAAGGAGGATGAATACGTTCTACCACATGCATGTTGTATATGCATATGCTCCGACTGCCTATTTAACAATTCAAAACACTCGTCCATCTGTTCTTGCGTGGAACAGACGATGAAGCAGTCGTCTTGTACAGAATATATCTAGAATATAGAATACACAATATAATAACATAATATAACAACAATAACACATAATATAGAATACAGAATATATCTAGAATATAATATAATATACATGGAATATATAATATATCTCGAGCAGAATATAGTGGGTTACTCTTGCACGCGACAGTGGTAAATGGAAGATTTACTGGCGCCTTCTCGAGTCACTCGACGATCAACGGGATTACAGGTGATACCGGTGATTCAGGTGATTCTAGATGCTTAGTGCTAGTGATTTTTACGGCATTTTTGCCTAAATAACTAGCAATCCTTACCATCGGTAACAATCTGTAAAGGAGCATCATGTGACAAGATTGATAAATAGTTTATAACATCCTTTATAATAAAGCTATTGCTATTTCTAAACTCTGGACACCAAAAAATCTTTTCTTCATTTCTTTCCAATGCCGAATCCACCTCCTTTTTCAATTTCAACTTCACCGAATCCGCCAGGAAGATTGATAGCGTCGTGATCAACCTTAAGAGAAGACGCGAGATAAAATTAGTGCAAATGTCATAATGTGTATAAAGCTCATATAGAAAACACAATTTCAATTCATCGAAAAAGCACAGAGCATAGAGTTCTCAAGAGAATTTTCGTGAAGAACGTTACCTTGCCGATTGCTACTGGTGCGTTCGGATTAAGCGCTCCGTAGCCAGGTTCGTAACCACGCACACGCTTATTCGAACGATTACCTCCCAGTTTTCCAAAAACTGGAAGAGCGAGGCACTTGTTTATACAGCAACAACGGAGTATGGTGCAATTAAAAAAGTTTCTTTCCTTTTCAGAAAATGGAAAACATTGAACTTCAAAAACATTAAAACTCGCAAAAAAAGTCACTTATTCCATCCCTGGAGGGTCTCATAGCGGAATTTTTGATGAAATACCTTTGTATGAAATGCTGAGATATTTGCAGAGCTCCGAAGCACAGGTGTATGCAGTGGGGAACGAACATGAGCTGTTGTCCTTACCGGGGAGCAGCGCACTTCACCACTACACCATCCGGCTCCCCGGTAAGGACAACAGCTCGTGTTCGTTCCCCACTGCATACACCTGTGGTTCGGAGTTTTGGAAATATCTCAGCATTTCATACGAGTTATATTTCGCAACATACTCCGCCATTAAGAAGAAAAAGGCAGTAAATAAAAGGGCTAAGATTGAAATACCTTTGATTTTTGAAATGTGATAAACTTCATAAAATCTTCCATTAGTAGAACCACGAAAATGCTAAGATATGAGCAAAACGCTGAACCTGTGCTGGGTTTTGAGCAGCTGGTTATCTCCACCGGGAGATCATGTACTATCCACCACACCAACCGAGGCCATTGCTTTGTCTTCCTCTCAGCCATGCTTTTACTCTATTGGTGTTATCATCAATCACGTATCAATAGTAATTTCGGGTGCACAAGTCAGAATAATGATGCCTTGATAACAGTGATCACGAGTTCAAAGCCCAACTGAGAGTGCGAGTTTTGCTCATATGTCAGTATCCATGTGATTAAACTTCACATCTTACCCTGCTATGGAAAAAGAATAGGTAGTAAGTAAAAAAAATAAAACACTGTTTCTCAATTAGCATTTGAATGTCATACCTTTGTTGAGACCAGGTAAATTCGGTATACCAAAGGATTTCAGAACTTCTTGACTGAGCTTTTTATCGCCGTTGTTTGGTTCACCGCCAATTCCAAACGACGGATATCTACAACGGAAGAGAAGTATATGAGTAAATAAGAAGCTGAAAAAGAAACAGAAATTTTTTTTTACTAATGAGGCGAGAACTGTTCATCTTGCTCAATAGATTTCATATCGTTAACACTAATGGCAACACGCTGTTCGGCTCCTACCGAATGAGGTCGAGGCGCGTCTTCTTTTATTACGCAACTGTAAGTCATTTTGACTCATATTGTCTCATGGATTGATGCTTTTCTAATCACAAAGAATAAATCGGCATGTTTTATAACCACCTGGCTTATAATCCGTAATTTCTCATTGTACATTGCGAGAAGACTCACTTCAAGACTTGCTGCTCTCACTTTAACGAATTTTACAATACAAGATTGGGTTTACTCTAGATTTAAATCATTTCGAAATAAACAAGAAAATAAACGTCATTGTTTATGACTTTTATAGAATGTAAACAAAAAAGTGTTAAAAGCGAAGATGACGTGGAATTAATTGTGCTTTTCGTCCTCGGTGGCCATAAAAAAGGCTCTGAGGATGCCACTGGATCTGAGATCTGATGATCGTAAGAGGTAAGCGATTAGTTGCCGAACAAGTTTGTGCTTCAGATCTGCGATGACAATCGGTCTAGGCAGTCGGGTCTGAAGGTATCACCATCTAGAAGTTAAACACCTTGGATTTGGAGATTTTCAAAAAAAAAATTGCGAGCGTATAGAAGATTATTCTATAAGGCAAAGTGTCGATGATGAGATGAGCCCAACACGTAATGGATATGAACGACAAGCGATGGACAAGAGTCGTTAGTGACTGGATTCTTTGGAATGTCAAACGTACTGCAGCAAGATCAGTGACTCGATCGTGTGAGTTGTTCACAAAAGGCCTGTAGGAAAGCTATGACGCTTAACGTGTCGCTACAGAAAACAAAACCCGCTGCGCTACTCTTGCACGCAACAGGAAGAAATGGAAAGTTTAGAGATGCCCGTTCGAGTCACTCGACATCCAGCAGGACAGGTGATAGTTGAATTTACGGGAGAATTTTCGATCTATTTGTGAGGGAGAGCGGCGGATTCGATTCGATAGACGAACAAAGTTAACGTGAGTCAAAGCTGTTAAAAAGATTAGAGCACTCACTACACTTGTTAAAACGAGATAGGATAAAGCTCTCGATGTTGATCATTTCCTAAAGAATGCGCTATGCATTCGACTTTATTAAGCATCTTTGGAGATGGTTGAATGCATATGTGGCTTTTACAATGACTCGCTGTGGCCTACCGATGTATCAAACCAGTGCTCCTATCCTCCCAGGCAAATCTGGTAGCAATTTGCTCATCTCGAAGGGATGTAGGGTTTGATGGCGTGGCGCAGCGATCGATCCCACGTGCCTTGCTGGCAGCCTCTAACCACTGCACTCCACTCTGTTACTAGAGAGAAATTGCTGAACCACATTTAGAGGTGGTTTACAGGACCAGATGCTAAAATCCTTATTGGACTCCAATCTATGCTAAGAATCGATTTTGAAAAGTTACCGCCTCACCACTTGCTGTCAGATAACGCTGCTTATACATAACAGCTTATTATGATCAGTCCATTCATCAGCAAAACTGGTGATGCTATGTAGGATTGTCTGTACTAAAAATTCCACCGTATCATGTAAAGATAGATTAATAGGACAGTGAAAGGAATATTTTGATTTCTGGAATGGCCCCTCTTAGCGATAAAGAGTCGGGGAAGTCGAAGGCTAAGCAACACTGTTTATGGACGAAAGAGATCGGATTAAGATAAAAATTAAGTGCTATTCTTGAATTACCAGAAAACCTTGTAACATAGAGCAGTAGTTACGTGTTTGCTTTTTAAATACTGCTCTGTGTCCACAGAAGTTCTCCTCGACTACTACGGTGCGCGGATAGCAAGAAGATAATCTCATCGAAACTACTTACATATCAGTGGAAGAACTCGCTCTTCATCACCACACAGAAGCATCTGATCACATCTCACTGCCGCAAAGTAGCGGTGTGATGAATTCCAAAGCAGGTAATAGGCGCGAAACTATTCGTGGCTTTAATAAATGCTACCGTACCTACAGAAAGAAGAGTTTCCAAAAGACCTATACACTGAAGATGAGATGTGGATCCTCTACCACACTGCCACAGGCTATTTTTTCCTGCGACCGCAAAAATGAGAGCCATCGGTTCAACCGAGATTCGAGCACAGATGGGGACTTCGTTTCCTCCATAGTAACACTCAATCAAGAGTGATTACCATAGTATCGAAGATTAGTAAAAAAGATACCAGTTGCACCAAGACATTTCAAACGAAATGGCTTGCCATAGAAGAAAGGAGAAAAGATCGATGAAACTGCCCATACGATTACTACGCGAGTAACAACATTTGGCTCATATATGACCAAGTTCTCAATGTGTTACTAATTAAATCAAACTCGGAACTCATCATGAAGTTATTACCACACAATTTATACGAGCAAATAAAAATTTAAAAAAAAATTATTCGAGGTCATAAAAAGGAAAAACTTACTAACCCATGTGTGAGAGCATTCATTGATCGCGCAGGTCCTTTACCGGTTCGATGGCCAAGGGCTCCTAACTCCATACCCTGGTTGAGAATAATGCCACCAATCTGAGCGATAACAAATATTAATCTATCTTTATGCACTTAAAACTCAACCACTAAATTTAAGTACTTATATGTTGACAAATAGATTATGGTAATGTCATTCATTCTCATCGACAGATCTGAGATGTAACCGCAAAGATGCTGAGTTATTTGCAATATTCCGGCCCACATGTGTCTGCGGTGGAGATCGAACCAAACAGTATCCTTTCCGGGGGTAACGTGCTCACCACACCACGTCATGCGGGTCCTTCGTTTTGCCTGTCTTTCACCTATTTCTATCGATCAATCCCGGTGACGGATGATTACTGACGGCAAAAGATCGATAGAAATAGCTGAGAGGCAAACGAAACAAAGGACCCGCATGGTGTGGTGGTGAACGCGTTACTCACCGGAAAGGAGAATAGTGAGTTCGTTCCCCACCACAGACACCTACGGTCTGGAGTTTTGAAAATATCTCAGCATCATTGAAGGTGTAGTAAAAATCACGGTGTAGCCACAATGTTCATAGTGCCTATCGTTCTTTCATTCCAGGCTAGAATGAATGAAAAAAATGAAAAACATGGGTGTGATAAATGAAGGAAAGAAAAGACATAAAAAAAGAACAGGTAGTAAATAAACAGTGACTAACTTATGAAAATAGTGTTAATTCATCATTACTGGATTTTGAAACACTTAACATAAGCTACGAAAAAACAAAAATTTGCAAAAAGTTTATTTCCAAGCGCATCTCGCAAAATTATCCACGCTGTCATGGAATTGGCCTTTCCATTTGCTTCTGCCTAATTTTACTTACATTAATCAAGGCTTCTTCACATTCGATTACATATAGTCCTATTCTATGAAAACGAAAAGCACCTTTGTTGTTGAACAGGTTCATAAGAAATAGGGCGTGCATTGAGGTCTAAATATAGCGCTATTAGAGGTGATTGAGTGCATATCTATCCTACAAAATGGCATGTAGTGGACTATCGGTGTGTCGAACCAATGTTTTCTTTCCTAGTCTGATGTCAATTTGCAGAATTAGAAGGGATGGAGGATTTGGCTAGCAGAAAACGTTGAGTCGGATCTGAGGCTTTGCATGTATTGTACGGTACCTTTAAACAATGAACAACGAGCACCCGCATATATGTTGTCGAAAATTTTGCCAAATGATTTGGGCAGTTAAAACAAAAGAGTGAGATCAAACCACCGTACTTATCAAATAGTTCATTGAAGTCTATGGCATACAAAGGTTTATATAAGCTTTAGGCTTTTGTTTATTTTTCTTCATATATTTCTATAACAATATTCAACAGAATTCTAATGGTAGTGCAAATGCAGACCTGATTGAGGAATGGAATATTTCCCTTTCCGATATCTGCTCCTTGGCTAGTCACAACTTCAAAACCTGGAAGAGCTCACCTTGCGTCGTTTTCTCTTGCGATCGCACTTTTTCTATTCGAAGTATCATGATGTATAAAAGGGGTTCCATTTTAAGGTGTTTATTTACTCCATTCTCAGACTTCGTTACTTTCTTCTCCCACCATCTCTTTCTCTCTACTAGAGTTCTCGCTCCACCCCTCACTTCATTATGTTAAGCAGCGTTACTTCTTGGGTGCCTTAAGGTGGTATAGAAGTAAACTGAAGTTTTCATAAAGCTTAACAATATATTTACTGCCCAATATTTTTTATGGCAGGGTGAAAAAAGATCACGGCGTTGATCAATCCCTTAAGGATGCGCCTTGCATTCGATTTCATTAAGCTCGTTCGACTATCTTCGGACCGGCGCTTATCCTTTTCGGGAACTGGCGTGCTACCCACTACCCGACGGTGGCTCTTGCTTTGCCTTTCTCTCACTAACTTTCTCGTATTTCAATTTTTTTTGGAAGATAATAAATCAGAGAACTGCTAACTCGGTGTATAACAATGCTTCTTTTAGATTTTTGCAGTATTCATTAACATTTAGAAAAAGGTGCTTAAAATAAAATAGACCTGGTATGGCTCCAAGACCGAAGCCAAAACTTTTCCCAAGCCCTAATTGGCCGTTTTTCTGCTTCTGACCATAACCTTTAGGGCGGCCTTCATCTGTCGGATCGGCATGCCGGCTTGGGTAGAGATTGATATTTGGCACACCACACATTTCTGAGAATTCCTGGCAAAAAACCTGAAATTTGGAAGGAGTTACAAACCCTTGTTAATCTTGAGTGCGCTAATCAAGATTATTAGGAATTAATATCAATGGTGTCAGTTCTATCCAAAATAATAATAATATTATGCCAAGGAAAGTAACTATTATAAACGGCTACACGACAGTGAACAGAAAGAATGAGACTGAATGAAGAGTAGCACAAATCAACGTCTATTCCGAGCACTAAAATAATCTTTTATTCAAATTTATTTTATTCCTACTATCCGCTATAACAATATTTGCCTGCCGTTGACAAACTTTGCTATCCATGGTTTTGACGATGGCAAATAAGAAAAATAACACTTCTCCACAGCTCGAACAACAGCGTTTGAAGATTTGGAGGAATCCAGAAAGGCATGAAATCGCTCGGCTTTGATTGATCCCTCAAAGACGTCCACAAGACTACATTCATAGCATCGTAGAAATGTCGAATGAATAACTGTTTATATTGATCTTCTTAAACTGATGCGAACTTGGTTTAGGTCTTCCTTGTCGTCTTGTTGTCGTTGCTGTTGGTGTTGCTGGCTAACATTTCGGGGATTCCGAGTTCCTCACAGCCTGGACGTATTTTATGCAGGAATACTTTAATTATTCGGTGGAGAAAAGCTAAAGTATTAATGGAGGTCAAACTTCTAAATAGACGCCGTACTGATCATGCTACCATCCATATCAAATAAAGTAAATTGCACCATTAAGAGATGCTTAAGAAAAAGTGGTCTTGAAAATTTTGTAATGATTATTGACATCCCATCCAACCAACACCCTACACCGTCAGTTAGTTCGCAATCGTCTCTATGATCACAATGTTATACCTTTTTATTTTCTGCCTACTATAATTTCGCGGCAGGGTACGAAGCGAAATACAACCACAGCGTTGCTGAGGTATAACATTGCGATTTCAACTACAGCCGCAGCTTAACTGGGTTCTGTGCCGATTTGGGCGCCCCAGATCAATTCCGCTGACGGGTGATTGCTGCAGCAAAGTTCGATAGGAATAGCTGAGAGACAAGCGAAACGAAAGACTCGCATGGTGTGTTGGTGAACGCGTTACTCCCCGGAAAGGACAATAGCGCGTTCGTTTCCCACCATAGACACCTGCGGTCCAGAGTTTTGCAAATATCTCAGCAACGTTGTGGTTGTATTTTGTCTCTATGATCGTTTGTGCAGCTCAGAAAACTGCATGATCTGCTCTAACGACAGAAATGGGGACTACATGGGTTTAGGTGTAATGTACTTGATCACATGTAACGCATGCGGTTAGGAATATATTGGGGAAACGGGTAGACCACTTTGTTTCCGCATAAAGGAACACCTAGATGGGAAAGTTAAGATCCGTCAAAACACTGCTCTAGGTACGCATGAGGCAGAAAAGCACAACGGTGATGATTTTGAAGTGAATGTGCGAATCACAGCACAGGAATCGAAAACATCAATGCGCAAAACTCTTGAGGCGTTTTGGGCAAATTTCAAAAATCCAAAGATGAACCGGAAATAAACCTCACTATCAATCGTGAACTGGCCCTTTATTACAAAGTAATATTTCGATTCCTGGGTGTGCCTCGCTCGAGACCCCACGAAAACAACGCGTGGGCCAATCCCACTTGTAAGAGCACGGTGGGTAGCCTTTCTGATCAATAGGCGTCAATTCAAAAGTTTGATCTTTATTAATACTTTAGTTTTTTCTTCCACCGAATAATTAAAGTATTTCTGCATAAAATATGTTCAAGCTTTGAGGAAGGCGAAATCGCCGAAACGTCAGCCATCGACTAACAACACCAAACACCAACGACAACAACAACAACAACAACAACAACAACAACAACAACAACAACAACAACAACAACAACAACAACAACAACAACAACAACAACCACAACAACAACAACAACAACAACAACAACAACAACAACAACAACAACAACAACAACGACGACGAAAACGAAGTCCTATACCAATTTCGCAGCAGCTCAAAAAATCAGCTTATAAGATCATATAAATGAAAATATCAACTATCTATGCCAAGGTTTATAGAAATTCGGTCTTTTGAGTTATATAAGGACCGTGTGGCAATGTATCAAGCATGTATTTTGAGCCTCTGGAACAAAACTGGTAGACCAATTCGTCGACCACGAAGGGATGGATGGTTTGGTGAGACAGTTATCTGGGACAAAGCCAGTGACTTAGAGTGTGCTGCAGACACCTCTACGTAAATCGCTGTAGTTGCTCAAAGATTACGGAGACGAAAAATGAATGTGCTTCCGACGTTAGATTTATAAACGGTTGATTTAGCTTGTTTGCTCGTTGTTTCCTGAGCTGCTTTTACTTCTACGTCCAAACATTGCTAAGCGTAGATTACCTGTAGGTCATATCGAAGCTTCTTTCCAGGTAAACAGGTGGTTTGGAACGTGTACTGATTCACTGGGCAGTACCTAGAACGCAAAGTAAAACGCTTCGATACTTAGTGGAACTTAAGCCCAGCATTCGCTGCAAGAAGGTCATTGACTTTTGAAAAGTGTAAACATATGTTAAAGAGCGAGTTAAAAACAAAAAAAAAATTAGTACGAATTGCTAAATAAGAGTAAATATTTGAAAATAGATAGAAACAAGCCCTACAATTCTGCATGATGACGAACAGCAGGTGGGAAATGACTCCAAGATTGAAGTAACTACAATGTATCATAATGGCAAACTACTCGACTGTATTCCATGGTGAGTGATCGTATTTAGTTGCAGAAAATCTTTTATTTCAACAATCTTCCACAGTAGCTTTTTATCGAAGCAAAAAGGAGAGCAAAGATTACTACTTCGCTTTCTTTGAAATGCTTGAAAACTACAATTTAAAACGAAATAAGACCAAATACATAGTAAATATTGCACAAATGGCGCGGTGGTCGGAGCTGCGATACACATGGGAGCGACCTCCGCGCCACTGGCCCACCAAGTATTCCATCTCTTCGGAATAGGCAAACTGGTGCCCGACTTATCTGGGAGTATAGCAGAATAGGCTCGATACATCGATAAGCCATCGAGAGTTATTTTAATGGCTAGATATGCATTCAATCACCTCCGTGCGATGCTTAATGAAGTGGGATGCATAGTGCATCCCTCAGGGATTGGTCAACGCCGAAAGCTATTTTACCCTTTTACATAGTAAATACCAAGTGTAGGGATCGTGGTAGCTTAAGCGGTTTACTGGCAATATGATGTTGCTTGAGATACGTGCTGCGCCGATGCACGGAATACGTTCACGCTTCGTATGGTCATCCGGGTTGGGAACAAATTTCGAAACTGAACCAATAGACTCGGCAACTCACTTAAGAGAAGTTATGTCAGTAAACATCGTCATGCTAAATGAAACGCTGTATCAAGTCTTTAACGAAAATTGGAAACGAAGTATGTATTCGTGAGAAGTTATCACGACATTTTTAGCACAATATTTATCCCGCAACGGCCGAGATGTCAGTGGATCTCGCCTTCTTCCGAGCCTGGAGGGAATCATATTGACAGGCAATCTACTTGACCAAATATTTTAATAAGGCTAACAAAAAAGACTTAAGTACAGCGTTAACAACTTCGTGTTCGATTATCAAAAACGCATAATGTTATGAATCAAAATCGAGGTCAGTAGAAAGTGAGCCTTGGGAACTGCAGGGTTTTGAGGTTAGCACCTGAATGGTGCCGATATGGAAACACATTGACACAGCTATCCCTGATTTTCCGAAGAAAACTTGCTGAACTAAAATAGTTCTGATCGTAGAAAATTTTCTTTGAAGTCAAGTCAGCGAAAGATAGGAAAAAATATTACAGAAATATAAAATGCGTTTTAAGCAGCATTAAATGGTCTTGGAGTCAACAAACCTTCTCCAGTCCTTTTCTTTCTGTAGCGTTGGAAATACGGTGAAGAGCAGATTCTGGCGCGGCAATGGAATCGGCGTGGTAGAGCGAAATGAACTGAATAACGCTTGTTCTACAGTTCGAAGATCTTTCAAAGCATTCAGTCATAAGAGGTGTTCTGTGAAGTGTTTACCGTTTTGTCGTCTCCTCTTCAAATTCAGTAGATTCTTCGAGTTCACTTTCTTCCTCCTGAAGGCTGGCATATAACCATGTTTCAAAAGCGCTCGCGCAATGCGAGGTTAGGTTATGAGAAAACACAGAGGATTTCGATGCAGAAGAAGAAGGGATAAAAAGTATAGGAACTTCACTGGTCTCTTTTTCGGCCAACATGCGAAATGGGATTATATAATTGAAAATGTTACTAATTATACCACTGCAGTACCACTCTTAGTGGTAGTTCATGAAGGGAGAAGAGTTCAACAGAAATAATAAAAGTATTGATAACCGCCCATTAAAAAAAGTTCTACATAGCAGTATATGATCATACAGTCCTGCAAAAGACATTGAACTAAATAAAGTTATGTTTTTTTTACCATAATAGTCTTCTCCGTACCTCTGTATTGATTGGCACAAATTGTTCTTTGAATGGGTCATCTGGAGAATCTGCTTCTTTCCGGCGTAAAACACTTCTGTTACAGTACGGCAGTGACGGGTTGCGATCGCATACCACGTTTACCAGATCTAAACAGCTATTTGAAAACAAGTAGATTGTACCATGTACAGTACAACTGTACATTTTTAATATTCCAAAAAACAACTGAACTATAGAACTGTTTCTTTTTTAGCAGTTCTCTTCACAGAAATAGCCCATAGATTAGGCAGTATCAGATTAGCTTGTGCTCAAGTACCAAATTATTCGTAAGCACAGAAGAGTATTCTTGTTTAAAAGAAGTAGAAAAGCAGTTTTTTAATAAAAAAAATCAGTTGCTTTTAATTTTTTTTAGAGGCATTTTAGTATATTCCGGATGTTTCCTCTCTTAACTGTGGGACACAAACTTTGTACTATTGTTTAGGAGCTCATTACATATTTTAAACCAATAACAAACCAGTTCGGCCGAGAAAAAATAGTGACAGTAATGAATAATAGAAAAGCATGGACTGCATATGGTTTTTAAGCCAGGGAGAATCCCTATTGTCACTGATCACGTCCGCGAACCGGTTCTCGGGTTCAGATATCCATGAGAAGCGATCATTTCATTGACCAGGAATTTTCTGTACACAACAACTGTTCTAAATATCTTTAATCAACAACACTTTCCGCATATTGCGCTTTCCTATCTAAATCACAGATTCTTTATGGGTCATGTTATATTGAGCCAAATATTTCTCCAATACGTATCATTGTCTTTCATTTCGTAGATGTGGTGGAGTTCACCTTTGGTTTGGACTGCAGATTGGGTCTGTACAGATTTCTTTTCTTAGAAACAAGCCTAACGGGTGATTTCTACTAGAAGGCATATAACGCACCCGTAGAGATATGGAGATCGGAGATGCTCACCATAGGCAGCTTGTACCCTTTATACTGAGACAAGGATTCCTTCTGGATGTCAACGATTTTTACAGAATTTCGACCGAGAAAAAAGGAAAGTGTAAACTGACCAAACTCATAGCCCGAAAAATCCGTCTATTTCGCTTTATAAGTCTATTTAAAACTTCGCTTCCTCAGTAGCCCAAGAATGGGAAATTTGCAATAACAATGTTCATAATTTCTGGAAGTATTTTTTAGTACGCAAGTAAGTCAGGAATATTTTCACTGAATCGTCAAAGAAAACTGAATATTTTAGCGCTAACGGGACTTCTCAAAAACAAAGCATATCTTTTGATTTCCTTCTTCTCTATACCGAACAGCATTACTTCATCACAAGACGCCGACATGCTTTCATGATGTTTTTCCTTAGTGGATTATCTTTTGCAGATCAAGTCCTAATAGAATAGTATTAAAAATTTTAAAGGGGACGAAGTAGCAAAGGCAAAAAATCTGTGAAGCCTTTCACTGTTATCGTTCCAAAGTGTCAATTTCTCATTGGCTATTCTTGTCAGTGAGGAATTATAGCCTTAAAACCTGAAGTTCAAGTAGTCCATTGACATTTAATGTTAAGTGCATTATCAGCCACTTGGGTGAAGTCAGTGGTATGCCCAAAAGCGTTATATCACTTCACTGTCTTTTCCAAAAGGTATGCTTTTACATATCGTGGTATTTTGAATAGCTAATAATTTCTCAATTATCTATTTTTATTAGGAAACAGAGTATTTAAATCATCAAGTACTTCGCAGTCTGACAATGTTTCGACCAGTATTTATTAGTGTCAAAACACATTAGTTAACGGAGATTCTTTGCCAACGATGTCAAACAGTCCGGGAAGGAGTCTGGCAGTTATAGCTGAAGCTAAAGAGTAAATGGTGTAAATCGTCGTCTTTGGAGAAACAAAACTAGCAAGCTTCCTTCGATCAACGAGGTCGACAAATGCCTGTGCTGATGACCAGCGAAGACACCATGGTACCTGTTTTCCGTTATTTCTGTAAAGAAATCTTTTTAAGCTAGAGTTATACCAGTAAAGGTCTTAAAAGTTATTGTTCGAACATCAACGGTAGTCACTGCATTCGTAGGACGAGAAATAGAGTGGTGGTGCCGACTAAACGCAAACGAAAAGGACTCACAGAAAAAGATCAGATGAAACAAATTCTAAAGCAAATAAATAGCCACAATAATGTTGATTCAATGGCAAAACTCCGAATCGTGGATGTCTGCGGTGGAAATCAAACTTGATATTATCCTCATAACGCTTACTGTGATACTCCTTCAGCGCACTACTCCTTTAAGTTTACTAAGTTCAATGCTGATTTACGCTCCTCAGATATAACCCGTTGACGGCTGATTGCTTATAGCACCTATAAAACACGGTTGAAAGAAAGAGGAAACGAAGTACTTGCATACTTTCGGTGGTGAATACGTTAGCTTCTAGAAAGGGTAACGGCGAGTTCTATTCCCACCGCAAGCAACTGTCCGAAGTTTTGCAAATATCTCGGCATCGCTGTGGTTATAGTTCACACCATACCCTGCCATAGAAAAATAGTCGGTATACAAGAAGTAACTACATTGTAATAGTAAACAGCCTTATAATCAAAATCAAGTATGAGTGTTTTACCAAGAGATTGAAGAATCTGTAAATGAAGTATTGCTCAACCAACCATAAGCGAGTAAGTTCACAGAGGCTTTAACTGAGGTGCAATAGGTAAGCAGCATCTGGCTTTCTTATCCCAATAGATTAAGTTTATTACTTAAGAAAATCTTTCAGTAAAGGTATACCTATAGAAGTTGCAACGGGCAAACAGTCAATGCATTCCGAAAAAAATTCTTGGTCGTCTAAAGATTTTTCCTCATAAGTCTCGAAAATCTCTTCTTTTTAGGCTCACTGCTTAACCTTCTATACATCTGTCAAACAAGTCTTCCGACTGGAGTGATAAGTGCCCTTCCCCTCCTTTAGTTCATCGCGTTCGAATTAAGATGGCCTTAAGTTTTCGTTTTCTTTTCAGTTCTTTTGGCTAAGATATGGCAAAGTCCTATTCGACCGTGCTTTATGCGTTTTGGACTAATATAGAGATCCATGAATAAACCTGATGAATGAGTGCCTCGTGTGCATACGTGACCTCGTGCTTAGCCTCAGGCTGATCCTTTGACGTGGACCAAGCACATTCCTCACTTTTGGAAGGCGCTATGAGGCTAGTCTCTTGGAAAGATTACAGTGAAAAGAACAAAACGGAAGTAGAGGGGGGTGTAATTTTTATCATGCATGAAATAATTATGTGTTAAACTTTGTTTGGTAAGGTTATGAAAGTGCTTGGCTGAGTAGATTGTATATCAATTTAACTTGTCCAGGCTCTGAGGAAGACGAGACAGCTGGAACGTCAGGTATAATGCATGTAGCACCAGCTTAGTGTTTGCTCATCGAGAAAAACAACAAAATGTTGAGCAGTGCAGAGGTTGAAAGACCGTCTGCCATTCGATCAATGGTGAGTTATGCCAACCATATAACAACCAAAACTTGACCACCCGAAGGATCGCCGGTCGTACAAATTGTGGTGTACAGTGTAGCGACCATTCCTATATGTGATGTGCTGTGTAATGAAGAAGCTTATTTACGATTTGTCAAACCTACGAGGGTGATTCTCCTTTCTTTCCTTGACTGAATTATTCCAGAAAGAACATCTCTTAGCGGTGACGGAATCCCAGTGATGGGCACACATTCGCTGTAAACCGAGAGCTTTTGAACAATCACCTAGTTGGCTAATTTTGTTACCGTTTCACTAGTTACGTGGACCTTAGCATGGTATAAACTTGCTGTCTTCGTTACTGCCACGTGGATCTATACTGGAGACCTCCTCAGTTTTTACTTCAATGTATCTTTGCCGATGGGCCATGGTGCATCATCGGTACTTGGCTGGGTGGATGTTGGAACACATTTATGCAGTCCCAATAAAGTTTCGCTGCCGACGCACCGCCTCACTGGCGAATTCGCAAATCGCGCTAGTACCGCGTTGTATGATCTGCACTGCTGTTGTGGTGACCAAGAGAATAACTGCGCCGTATTTCGAGCGGTTCTCAATCGTGATCTCTCCTATTGATGAATTGCAGAAAAAATTGTGTTTCGGTGAGTTTTGAATCCAAGTGGGTTAACCAGCACATTCGAAAGTAACGAACTGTGAAGAACGAGAAAACTTGTTCGTTTCGATGAAATTCGACAGTGAATCCTCAACCAATAAAACACAAAGCTTTTCACATCAGGAGGATTTCGTTTCACATATAGACTTTGGTGTTAGTTCCTTTTTATTAAACATCTTATGAACAGATTTCAGAGTGAAAGCGTTTGGAGCACAGCAACAACAAAAACAACATACAGCCGAATAGCAATATGTTTTCAAACTAGGTGGAGGATCAATATAGTCTCTTTTGAATTGAAGATATTGTTTCAACCAAAACAGTGAAATTTTTCGTGATGTTCTCTTTAAATCATTTTAGTCTCACACGACATCACATTTCGCACGGTACTTCTCTTATTCGATTTATAACTTCGCATTCCTCATTGACGAATGTTTTCGAAATTGCACACAGGTTCGGCCAACAGATGTGGACTTAAGTGTTCTCCGTTATTGCCGTGGAATATTGTTTTAGTGAATTCTTCCAGAAATCCTTGGATAATCCTGATAGGGCGTTACCAATTCTTCACTACAAGGGCTCACTAGGCTCAATGAGTGGCAAGGTTTGTCATGTCATTTTACTGTGCTAGTTTGCAGGATTAAGGAGCGCGGTTGCTCACAGGACTGTTCTACATAATCTCGCTGCAAATGCTGACCTCATCTGAACGCCGTTCGGATTCTCCTCAAAACGCGTATTTGGAATCGAAGTCTTTTCACGACGATCTTTTAGGTCATGATGCATTATCGCTACCCTTAGGCTCCACATACCACCTTTTACAAAAAAAAAAAGCCCAGTAAATGATCATCTACAGAAAACATGGAAACATCAAAAAAAAAATTTGTAGCGACTCAGCTTATTAAAGAAAGCATTATATTTACAACTGTTCGGAATAGCCCTGTCGATTGTCCAAAATCCAAAATTGCAGTTTTCTATCGTTTTAGAAAAAAAATTCGAGAGGCATTTTATAATGAGCGGACCCAACAGTTTCATTTAGTACTTCGGCACCAATGCGTAGCGCTGCTTTACTGCAAGCAGTTTGCAGTCGCGCACCTTCACTTAAGAAGTTTAACATTCTTGTGTTTTATGCAGCAAAAGACGGCTATTAAGCAAAGAAACTTTAATAAATGAGGAGAAACTACGTTAGGGCATTTACTCGGATCGTCTTCAAAAGCTAGAAATTCATTTCTGCATGTTAATAGGTCGCAGACCCAAAAATCTTTTGATCCCGTTGGCACACTCCTCTGTCTCAGTGTAAAGCCTTCGCTGAGTAATCCTGACAAATTTCAGCAACTCCTTGTATGAAATATAAGGTAAATATGACAAACTTGGGATTTGATATATACAACGAGGAAATAAACATCGAGAAAAATTAGTTACCAATTTAATACCACATTACTCGAAAAATATCACTCCTGAATGAATCAGGATGAGTGAACTTGTTGTTTACCTTACACGGTTACAACTGCTACGTTGTTCCAAGTATGTCCCGGCTACAAAATATTTTAGTAAAAGATTATGAGTTCATAAAACCCATTGTCCATATGTGAAGATGAAATTTGAGAAAATGTGAGCGTACCTCTCACAATCTCCATTTGCAGCTGCAACTAACTTTTCGACTTCGGCATCTTGCATTGGCGTCAAATCTAATAGTGAATGACAAGTCAAAACACAGTAATGCCTAAACGAATTAGCAAATATCTTCTAGCCTATTCTTCTATATGAAAAATTTTCCACCAACACTAGTGAGCTGTGTCGGGAGGCGGCGAGGTTAAGGAAAATCTCGAAAAATTCTTCCCTTTCCCTTAGTTCCGGTAGAACCAATTGTGTGATAATGAGGCATTCGTCTTTACGGCTCATCTTTGGATTTCTAAAATTCATCCAAAAGGGCTCAAGATTCTTGCGCGTCGATTTTTTCGATTTCTGCACTAGGATCCGCGCATTCACTTCAAAATCAACACCGTTGTGCTTTTGTGCCCTATGCGTACCTAGAGGAGTGTTTAGACGGATTTTAGCTTTTCCATTTAGATGTTCTTTTAAGCGGACAGAAAGTGGTCTACCCGTTTCCCCAATATATTCCTCACCGCATGCATTACATGAGATCAAGTATGTTATACCTAAACTCATGCAATCCCCGTCTCTACCGTTAGGACAGATCATACGGTTTTCTGAGCTGCACAAACGATCATAGAGACAATGTTTAACGTTTTGCTTTCTGCCTTCTATAATTTTCATGGCAGGTTACTAAGCGAAATACAACCACAACGTTGCTGAGATATTTGCAAAACTCTGGACCGCAGGTGTCTATGGTGGGGAACGAACGCGCTATTATCCTTTCCAGGGAGTAACGCGTTCACCACCACACCATGCGGGTCCTTTGTTTCGCACGTCTCTCAGCTACTTCTATCGATCTTTTTGCCACAGCAATCACCCGTCAGCGGGGTTGATCTGGGGAGCGCAAATCGGCATAGAACCCAGTTAAGCTATGGCTGTAGTTGAAATCACAATGTTTAACGTTTTGTTTTCTGCGTTACTCCCCGGAAAGGATAATAGCGCGTTCGTTCCCCACCATAGACACCTGCGGTCCAGAGTTTTGCAAATATCTCAGCAACGTTGTGATCATAGAGACAGTTACGAACTAACTGGCGGCGTAGGCTATTGGTTGGGATATCAATAATCGTTAAATTATTTTCAAGACCACTTTTTTTTTAGCATCTTTTAATGGCGCAACTTACTTTATTTGATATGAAGGGTAGCTCAAGAGGGTTCTTGCTTACGTCCGAAACATTGTTTTGGGGAACTACCCTACGTTTTCGTTTAACCCGATTGGCTTCTACTTCTTAGCCATTGGAAATGGCTATTTTTCGTGCCAGGTTTAGTGATTCCTTCCTTTCCTCTTCTCCGCACAAATTTTTAGCCGTTCGGTATGTGTTTAAGCCTAGCGCTTTTTTCATGTGCAAATGACGAGAGGAAGAGTAGTGAACTAGCATATTTTTGCTAATTGCTTTACGATACCATTTGGTTATATGCCCACTTTCTGAGAGCTTTATTTGGATGTTTAAGAATGGAAACCAGTTTTCGGTTGGTTTTTTCCGTGTGAATTGTATATACTCTGATTGTCTATTTAACAATTAAAATCACTCATCCATCTGTTCTTGTGTGGAACAGACGATGAAGCAGTTGTCTTGTACAGATTATATAGGAAGGGTCGGTGATCGAGAACTGGAGCTTCCGTCATAGACATGAAAGCGACGAAAAGGAATGGTCTTAACTCTTTTATTTACTGCCTTTTTCTTCTTAATGGCAGGTTATGTTGCGAAATATAACTCGTATGAAATGCTGAGATATTTGCAAAACTCCGGACCACAGGTGTATGCAATGGAGAATTCTGCAATTGCGCCGCCTGCTCCAGTTATGTCTATCTAGGCCGGAAAATCTGTGTGATAAATGACTTGGCTCCAAAGCTGAGCAAAAGGAAACAGGTGGCTTGCGGAGTATTCAAGAGCATCGAGGGTGTAGCGAAGAGGGCAAAGAACACACGACTCCACGCCCACATTTTCGACTCAGCGGTACTTCCTGGCCAAACGAACGCTTTAGAAGCTTGGTCGCTGCGAAAGCAGGAAGAAAGATTAATTAGCGTTATCGAACGCGCAGTAGAAAGGACGATGTTAGGAGTGTCCAGAGTCATGCAAGTAAGGGAAGAAATCCGAAGCTCCGACATGCGTCAACGACCAAAAATCAAAGATGCCGTTTTGTACGCCACACAGTCGAAGATAAGGTGGGCCAGGCACGTAATGCGTATGGATGACAACTGATGAACAAGCGTCGTTAGAGACTGAATTCCTCGGGATGTCAAATGCACTGCAGGAGGACCAACGACTCGATGGTCAAAGTTCTTCACGACAGGCCTGGAAGAAAAATATGATGATCGACGAATCCCTAGAGCGAGCAAAACCCATTGGGCTACTGTTGCACGCGCCAGGAGGAAAAAAAAGATTTACTGGCGCTCGCTTAAGTCACTAAATGATCAACGGAGCTACAGGTGGTGCAGGTTATCAGGAGGCGCGTGCAGCATAGTGGTCGCAGGCGTCCTCTAACACACATGGGAGTGATCCCTGATCCCCAGGCTCACCAAGCCCTCCATCTCTCGGGGGTCGTCAGATTAGTACTAGACTTGTCTGCGACGATAGCAGCAATGGCGCGATAAATCGGCGGGCTCTGCAAGTCATTGCAGTGGTCAGATATGTCTTCAATCACCTCCAACGATGCTTAATGAAGTCGAATTCATAGCTCATCCCTCAGGCTTAATTAGCACATAAAGGTTTATCCCTATTAGATAACTAATAACAGCAACTATATGGATTTTGGTGGTTATATGCCTCATCGAAAGACGCCAACTGCTAAGAAGAATAGAAAAAGCCAGGCAAGAAGGTGAAGTTGAACACTAATCAAACAAGCGTTGACTTTTCTGTCTATTTAGGGATAAACAAAAAAACAGAAACATGGAACTGACCATAAAATGCCTTGCTTAATTTGTCTGATGGAGTAATTTAAGAGCAGAAGCAGTTAACGAAAAGTTTATCTAGGAGAGTTTACTGCCGGGATCAAAATCTTAAAGACGCTTAGACGAAACTGAAGAGGATGGTTAATGCATTAAGAAAACTTCTTGATGTTTTCGTTCAGGCAAAATAAAACTTTTGTGGTGTTGAAGAGATAATAGAACCGTGCATTCAGTGATAAGGGCGTTTATAAAGCCGTGTTTAGATCAGCCCCGCAACACACACACACAGATAGTCGTTGCTTCGATCACGGGCCCAGGGCTCACTAAACATTAGATGGCTCGAGAACTGATGGATATGTACTAAACTTTTCTGGAAAGGTGGAAACACTGCATCAGTACGTTGGTAGGTCACCGAAAACGATTGTGCTGCAATTAACCAGCTCTGCGATACTTAGTGAAACCCAATATTTACAGCATCCCTAAGAGATTGATCAACGACGAAAACCTTCCCTTTTAACCTTCATAACTAGCAGCGCAGCCTCATGCTGCTTAATCTGAAAATCACACGGAGTACTGTTGCTTCTTCTGACGATTCTACGTTTTTTTGACGTCTCTGCTTCTTCTTCTTTCTTTTGGACCAACCTGAAGCGGAAATACCAATGTGTTTCAAGATGGAAGGCGTTGTTGGCACGAGTTCAAACAGAATGCAACTTTTTTCAGTGTAGTGAAGCAGATGCGAAAAAGAAACTAACAACGTTTTTATTTAAAAAGGTGCTAAGCGGCCTATGAAGGCAGTTATAATTAGCGTTAATGTCCTTTGAAGACAAAAGATGACAAAATTGTTGCATCGCGGTGCGGTATCCTAAGTTGAAGCTTTATTTCCACAAATGGTACAAGCTTTTTCCACGTGCTGGGTCCACTAAATGTCGTCACAGCAGATAAGCTGTCACTCTTCACATATTGGAAGCAGCTTTGCAGCCATACGATTAGGTTTTATGTGAAACACTAATTGTATCGGTTGTATTCCTAGTTCCTCCCAATGGTTTACCGCCTCATCGTGGCTGGGAGGTGTTCCTGGGAGCCGGACTGCGATGTACAGAGGGAGAATTCATCCACCCAGCAGGGTCTCTCAAGGTGAGAAGGAGTCCGGCGTTGTCATAAGGAAGCCTAGCTAAGAGTAAACCGATACAAGGATCTATCACCGTCCTGGTATCAAAATAGTCGCATGGTGCAAAATCGCCTTCTGATCCACAAGGGCAACGAATGCCTGTAGTAGTGACGACCAGGAGCAGACTTTGGATAGACTGATTTCGAGACTCCAGGGAGTTAGAATGGCTAAACCAGGAAAACTCCGTGAAATGGAGATTATGCTGGGGCCCATATCCCCAGTGAGGACGTGACGTCCAAGCGTCCAAAGTGTGTATTCCTAGTTCGACTTTCGGGACAAATGCCGCAGCCTTTGCTAGCACTGGTAACTTTGCTGAGAGTACCAACAATGCTGTGCACAAGCTTTCGACAGTGCGTCGGCGCCTCATCTTACCAGCTTGGTGAAGAGAGGTAAACACAATGCATGATCACTATACGTGAGAAGCGTTGGTTTCAAATCTCTAGTTTGAGAGGTTGATGCAAACCTGCTTAAAATCCGATTAATTTCTGAAATTGCTCTGCTCAAAACGTGATATTACCTGTAATTTCCATCAATCTGTTAGATAACACCAAACGGAGGAGACTTCTCCATAATGTTTTTTCCCGCCGATTATCTTTTGCAGATGGTGAAAGCATTTTCGCGGTTTCTTAGTGAGGAGCGCTTCTTTTGTGTCACGTCTTGTGTTTTATACCTCTGAGTTTCCTGCTACTCTCATCGTTGCTATCCTTCTCCCACTACTTCGTTCATAGCCAATAGTGTGGCAAAGAAGGGAGCATTTCTTTAAATTATAAACGTGACAAATTTCTTCGGTAGCTTGATTTTTAACCATCTTAACATTTGAAAAAACGCTACTTTAAAATTCGCCACATTCTCCACTTTCTTCTAACATCCTGCGTTACCTTGAATAGTCAACAACCTTGTCATATGCAGTTTATTGCTGCTTTAATATAACAACAACTATCGCTTAAACAGAAATGTTCATCTCAA